AAAAAAAAAAACCAAAAAAGCCGATTTTGATCCGAAAAAAAAAAAAAAAAAAAAAACTACTCAATTAACTGGGGCCAGCCAGTAAGATAGAAGACAAGCAATGGCCAATTGCCTTTTACACGCAAAACAGTATATTTCAAAACGTATCAGCGTGTACACATGCTCGGAAACGCGCACGCATTCCTCTACGTTTCAACCGGGTGCGCTCCGGTCTCATCAGGAGGCATGCCACAAACCTAGCGCCTTGCGGCCCACCTACACTTACCACCCACGAGCGTATGAGGGCCGTTCTGGCCTTGCCCTCAATTGATACCTACAGCCTTCCCTTGCACACACCCGCCACATTCTCTTCGAAGTCCTGATTGGCTAAACCATCCTGCGTCGGATCCGTGTACGGCCCTCCGCAGCCAGCTCAATCTCTCATACGTGTGTAGTACGCGTGTGCAGGACTGCCGTGCGCTTCCCAGCCAGTAAGACGATGATATCTTTTTTTTTTTCTTTTTTTTTTTTCTTTTTTTTTGGGAAATACGACGACGATGATATCTCAATGCCGTCGACCTTCTGGAAAAAAAGGAAAAAGAGAGCGCACATACCAGGGTTCGACGAGAACCAGGCCACAAAATGGCAACCGCACCTGAATCGCAATCTGCGTTCTCGTAATTGGGATCCCGATCGAAGGAAGGATCAAACTCCCTCTTGCCCCGAATAGAAGGCATGGTGATGGAATGTCTCTATCTGACCGGAAAATTGGTCCACATACAGCGATAACGACGATGCCTTCTATTTGGGGGAAAACGGAAGAAAGGTCCCACTAAGTAAGAAAGACGATTGGAGTAAACGCCTGAACCTGGATGGGTTATAAGCAGAGATGCAGAACAGCCGATCAATCGCGATTTTTTCTGCATGTCTCCGCAATCAAGTCGAGATTCGAGCGTTCACTCCAATCCTCTTTGCTAGTGAGACGTCAGCCCAGGAGCCCCTACGACTCCTCTTAGAACCATTGTACAATGATTTTCCCTCAAAAAAAAAAAGACAAAATAGAAAAAAAATAACCAAGCAGGGAAAAAAAAAAAAAAAAAAGATGATTTTCCTTTAAAAAAACAAAAAAATTGAAAAAATCACAAAAAGAAAAGAGTTTTCTTCTCCGCTCAATCCACCATTCATGTTCAGTCGACTACTCGTAACATTCAAACCGATCCATCTCTCTCTCTCTCTCTCTCTCTCTCTCTCTCTCTCTCTCTCTCTCTCTCTCTCTCTCTCTCCTTTGCCAGATAGAATTAACTTTAATTGCATTCACTTTGATTGAATTGGTGATTCTTCTACTGAACACTCACCGAGCTGATGCTCTTTCTTGACCCCCGATTTATTCGATTAGAGCTTCAAATATGCCATGTTTTTTTTTTTTTTTTTTTTTTTTTCCCCCTTTGTTTCTTGAGCATAATTTCAATTCGATATCGACGACCCTATCCTTCTTTGACTAAACTTCAGATGCAGAAATCATGGAGCCTGAAGGCAGGGATGGTGAAACGGAAAAAGATAGCACAAGGAGAAGGCAACAAATCACGCGCCGTCGCACGGGAGGGGGAAAGAGACTCTCTCTCTCTCTCTCTCTCTCTCTCTCTCTCTCTCTCTCTCTCTCTCTCTCTCTCTCTCTCTCTCTCTCTCTCTTCACAGAAATGTGATCGTCTCTTCATGATTGCCGGTGCATTGTTCGTCCTCATGACTGCAGGTGCATTATCCCATTGTCCCCCACACGCTTGCACTGTCCCCAGTGTGTCCCCCTATTGTCCCCCAGTGTGTCCCCCAGTGTCCCCCAGTGTCCCCTATTGTCCCCCAGGCTCCCACACTCATACCTCAACTCCATTCTTTTATCTGTGCGATGCAACAACCGCGGCAACGACGAAGATGCAGCAGCCTCGCTCCGCTCCACACTCTCCGCTCCGCCGCCCTTGTCGCTATCGCTACCACGCTTCGCGCAACTCCTTATAGCGGCAGCAATGGCCACCAGTACGGCGTTGTCATCGCCACCCAGAGGCCCATTGCCTGCGCTAATTGCCGCGCTACATCGAGGCGGCAAACGGCGGATCCCTTCCTCCTGCGCATACCTCACAACGCGCACACCGCGCAGTTTTCGCCGAAGCCTGGCAGACGATGCAATGGCAGTGCCTAGTCCTGCGCTCGCTCCCTCCGCGCGACCGCGGTCTCCTGCTTCTCCTGCTCCCACTCTCTCCCCAAGTACTCCGCCTCCTCCCCCTCCCCCTCCGCCTTCTCCCTCTGTCCTCCGCCCATCTCTCGCCGCTGCCATAGCTGCCGCCATCGTCTCTGTAGAGTGCGATGTCTCAGCGCGGGGGGAAGCGACAGTGTTGCCCCGCGCTGACCGGTCCGCTATGGTGAGCGCCCGTCGAACCCCCACTGAGATCCCGCCGAGGGCGCTGCCCTGTCCCCCGCGCGATTGCCGCCTGCCTCGGCCGGCAATTCCCGCGCCCTTGCGCAGGTCTCGCCGACAAGCATGCGGCGAGCGCAGAACAGCGCGCGCGCCCCACCCGGCGAAGTCCGAACGGCAATTTCCAGCAAGAATTGAACTAAATAGTTAAAAAAATATTACATACAAACAAAGAACGCAATGTGGAGCAGATAGAGAGACTGCATAGCAAAAAAAAACGAATGCACGTCTTTTTGTCTCTCCTCCCCCTTCCCCCGCCAGATGCACCACGCACGCGAGAAGCGCCTGTGCCTCGAGCCTCGACCCGCCCGCCCGCACGTAAGAACGAAGTGCGACGAGAAAACAGGCAGAGAAGCACGACGGCGAGACATGGGCAATGATCGATGTAATTCACATCAGAAAATCCTTGGCCCCTGCACAAGGATTTATTATAAATAAATAAAAAAAGGAAAACATCCTTGTGCGAATATGCTCCAACACTGCAAATCCACACAATCGCTTTTTTTTTTTTTTTTTTTTTGGGGGGGGGGGAAATCCCTTTTTTTCCTTTTGGGGGGAATTCACTCAATCAAGGAAAATGAACGAAACAGTGCGCAAGCCAAAACGCCAAAAAAAAGAGAGGAAAACAAAAATACGAGCGCGAACTTGAAAAAAAAACAAACTTCAAATTATTATCATTATACAACCGTGAAGCCGACTGGTAGGCGGGTGCAAAAAATCCATAACGGATGCTCAGCCGGGCCCGGTTCCCGTTTTTTTGTTAAAAAAAAAAAAAAGAAAAAAAAAAAGAAAAAAAAAAATCCATAACGGGTTCTCAGCCGCGGAGGGCCGTGGTTATTGATGTGAGGGACGCTGGGCCCGTTTCCCAGAGCGACAGGTAATTGAATTGGTTGGGGTTAAAAGAATTAGCCTTATTTAGTGAAGGAAAAAAAAAAAGAATAAGAAAAAAATCCGTTAGTGCCGATCTTGTGCGAGCCGTGGAGCGACTCAGGGAACGCGCGGTGAGCAATGAGAACGGCGGGAGCTTCTCTACAGAGCACTCCGCTATGCTCCCCCCCATGCGCACATGCGGGGCATATTGCCCGCGCAAAAGCCCGCGCGGCGGCAATMCCCCGCCACGACCGACGGCGAATTGACAAGCATGGCGGGTAAAATGAAAAAAAGACTGGGCCTCGCTGCACTACTCTCGATACCCACAAAAGACAAAAACCAATGGCCGTGTATCTTTCCATATTCTAGCGGAAGATTCACTCTCGTTTTGCACATGTCGAGAGTAGTGCACCGACGGCCATTGGCGCGCAAGCATCGGGAGCTGCCGACGTGGAGACAAAAGCGGACAAGGATGCGGACGTGGACGCGCCACACATCCGGCCGGCACGCGCCGGGGCGTGGTCCCACTAGCAAAGAGGATCGGATCGAATGCCTGAATCTGGACGAGTTTGTGCAGATGTGCAGGAAATCGAGATTTAACTGCTTTTCTGCATCTGTGGTTAAAACACATCCAGATTCAGGACCTCGATCCTGTCCTTTTTGCTAGTGGGACCTCGGCCCCGGTTCTACTCAGCGCGCGCGCGCGCGGGCGATCTCCTCTTGTTCCGCCGCGCGCTGGTGTTGGTCCAAGCCCGTGGCGCGCTCCTGCCGTATCAGAAAAGGGTCCGAGTAGATGCCACTGTGGAGCTCAAATTCCGCGTTGCTGACCCGGGGGGGGGCGCTAGGTCCCACTTACACGAATTAAGCGATATTGACCGTAGATAGCAGAGATCAATGGCCAGAATCTCTTAATCCGTGCAAGTGGGAGCTTGCCCCGGAAGTACCGGGAACCTACGGCCAGAAATGAGGAATCTCTCTGGAGGCGGGGCCTCGTCAAGGGAAAACCACAGGAGCTCAGATCGACAAGAGTTCGCAGTCCCTGAGGGGTGCGTTTTATACCCCTGAATCAAATTGGCAGCCAGTCAAGGGTGCGTTTTATACCCCTGAATCAAATTTCCGTACGTTCATTTGGGTCCAAAGGATGGTGAATTTGCTGGGAACGTAATTCGTGGGGAACGGGCAGCTGTTGGTTGCGGAGGATCGGTAGTTGTTCGTAGGAAGCCACCGTCCTCGAGTCTCCTCGAGTCTGGAACATTTTGAACATTTTTAAATAGAAATGGCGTGGGTCCACTTTCTCAAATAGAAGTGCACTTCGAATGGACCATGTACGTGTTGTATTCAAATATTGTGTACCGCATGGGTGCAGGGAACACAGCCCTAAGGTAGCCAAAGCAACAAGACTAAGTGCNAAAAAAAAAAAAAAAAAAAAAAAATTGGGAACCTGAAGATAGCACCTAGGACTTCAGAAACAATCGTGGAAAAACAAAGGGAAACCTCAAAATACTTATAAACAGACGAAAAAATAAGAAAAAGACAAAAGACACTAGATTGCGGCAGCTGCTGCAGCGTGTCGCTCCAATGCGCTTTTGCAGCAGAAGCCAAAACCCAATCTCACCCCAAAGATTATATTTTTCATGGAAATGCAAGTGAAAAAAAAAAAAAAAAACGCTCTCCAATCCTAGGCTACCATCCAGGCGGCCCAGGTCACCTTGTTTGCCCGGGCAGGGCCCAGCCGTGCAAGGACCAAAGAAGGTCCCAGCCCAAAAAAAAGAAAAAAAGAAAAAAAAAAGAAGGTTAAAAAAAAAAAAACAATCTGAAAAAAAACATGTTGTGCAGGAAAAAAAATAATAATCTGAAAACAAACATGTTGTGCAGAAAAATTAACTGAACAACTTTTGCCTCACGGTCACATCCAATTTTTTTACCAATTTAAAACAGAAAAACAAAATTGAAAACCTTTTTATTTTTTTTATTTTTTTATTTTTTTTGGGCCAGGCCGGACAAGTGCTCCCAGGCCACTCTGGAAGCCTAGCTCCAACCCCTTCAGGAACATCTTTCCCATTTCTTGATTTCCTTTGTCAGCTTGCTTTCATGTATTGTTTTTCCGTAAATCAATGAGATATTCACAAAGCGAGTCGTGCAGAAAGCAACTAATCACTTTATTTAAACTCCAGACTGCGAACACAGAAGCTCTAAAGGGAGGTCCTTTTTTTTTATTGCGGAGAGAGCGAGTACCATTATTGGATCCATCTATGTTCATCGGGATTCGAACTCGTCATCTGTTCATCAACAGTTATGTGTGTGAACCATTCAGCTAATGGAAGAATTACTTGCCAGACAGCCTGACAAGGAGGACATGCACCACCTTGGGAATAAACACCAACCGTCAAAAAACACCAATCACCACAAATCGAGCAGGTATTGCAACACACTACATGAATTTCCACACTCCGAGGAATCTGAAGAGTCTGAAGCAATATCAGCTCCGCTGGCAGGAGAGACGAACCACCTCTACGACAAAACGCAGTAAAAAAATAAACTGGACACGCAAATGACAGCAATGACGAGAAAGCTCAAAAAAGTGAACGCAACAGCGAGCCATGGTGTTTGAAACTTCACTAGTGGAAGATTGGAAAGGGAAAATACTTCAAAATAGAGCAAAAAAAAAAAAAGAAGAAGGAAATAATAGGAAATACATTAGTTGTCAGAATGTGAAACTGACGTAATTGATTGGCGCAATTGACGTCCTCGGCTGCGGCCCCTGAGAGCAGAGCACAAGATACATCATCACCACGTTAACCGTGTGCAATGCCGCATCTTGCAATTCCTTCCACAACGCGGCACGCACACTATCAGATCAGACCTAGAATTGAACCCCGGACAAGCCACCATATCCGAGTCCTGTATCCAGAGCATAACCCTGCCTAGTCATGCGGCGTTTGATCGTATGACCGTCATATGAAGCTTAGCTGTCATCGTATGTAATGAACAAGGGTCATCGTCTGTAACGAGAAAGACTTACTTCAAGCTCTTCTACCTTTCCCATCTCCCACTTCCGCAATACATTCCAAAAACAAGCAGACCATAGTCTGTCTCTTATACACATCTAGATGTGTATAAGAGACAGGGTTTGTGGTGGGGTTGCAGCAGCCGGGGTACCATTTGATATTAGCACAACGGGAAAGTGGTCGTTTTGCGGGCGTTCCCACTTGCTTTCTGGGGCCAGCCAGGGTATCCACTGCAAATTGCAATTCCGATCCATTTCAAACAGTCTGTTGTGTTCGTCAGCCCATATTATGCAGAAGTTTTCAACCAGGTCCCTCCTCACAGCATCAAGTTCGTTTGCAAGCATGGTCTGAGAGACCAATCCCGTGCCTCATCAGTTTTAGCTGTGATTGTGTCGCCTAGGGAGGCCCGTGCTTGAATGAGGCCATAGGTGTGTTGCTTTCTTTCGAACAAGCAACACATTCTCCAGGCTGCCATTAGCAGTGCAAGGCGGGTGTACTTGAAAATATACGAAATGGTGTCCAGTTGTTGTCGTGCTGGTATATGTCACCCATCAGGAGCTATTTCACATCCCATGCCAGGTGCTGGCCTGTGAGATAATGCCAGGCTGCATAACACCACCTCCAAAGTTGTCTGACCATGGGGCAGTCCACCAGACAGTGTTCCAGGGTCGCCCGCTATTTTGGGAAGCACAGGCCACAATATGTGCACAGTGGGCCTAGTATTCCCTTTCTTTTTTCTTGGTCCGACCTGGATGTCAGCAAGTCCGGTGTCAGCAGGCATTGCTGGATGATCTGCCATTGCGGAGCTCTGTAGTTAGTGGATTTGATATGGGAGTTGGACTATTTGAAAGAGCGGAAGTCTTCCCGCTGGAGTGGGGAGTCTCGTTCCCATCTTCTGAGAGTCTGCTCCATAAGTGGGACTGGTTTGCGGGCCCACTCTGTATCCGGTCTTGACTGTGTATTGCCAAGGGGACATCTTGCGAGATTCTTCCCAGTTCCATTCCCATTTTGCAGGGACCCCCTTTATGTCCCTATTTATTTAAGTACACCCCCCTTGCAC